CAACTCAAGACATCTCCTCAAGCACGAATGACTGAAAATTAGGGTTTGAGATTGCACAAGTATAATTAAACTTTTAGTGCCTCATATGACTTTCATGGATCATTTTGGACTCTCAAGATTTCTCATGTCAAGTTTCAAGTCTTGGACACATTTTTGCTTAGTCAATTGATCAGTTGACCTAAAAATCAGTTGTATTGGGGAAAAAGTTAACTGTGGTCAATTTATAGTCAAACATCATAATTTTTTATCCATATTAACACTATGAAATCATATATGTCATTTGATCAAGTTTGGACCATAATTCCTCAAAAAATTTGATCAGATCATCAAAAGGGCAAAATGGTCAAAATTAGGGTTTTGACTGAGGAAGTGCAATTTCTGATTTTTGACCCAACAAATGGTTGATTGGTTTAAGAATTGATCTCAAGGATTAAATTGCATCATTTTGAACTAATGAATGACTCAAAACTTCCCTCAAGATTAATTGATTGATAATTGATTTTCAGTTAACTGATCAAAAGTCAACTGTACACTGAAAAGTCAAACTTTGACTTTTTGGTCAAAATCAAGTGTCAAAGATCACAATTCATCAAAACATGTCAAAATATGAAACTTGTTCATCAAGAAATCAAAAAATTAAGATTTCATTTTGAAAAGTCAAAAATTCTAAACTTAGAAATTTTTCTAAGTGTTTGAAAATTCATATTTTTTCACAACTTTGAGCCAATTTTTCACCATGATGAAAGATGATTCAAAGGAAGCTTTCAACATGAAAGTCGTAGATCTCAGTGATATATAAAACATTGTAGAACATAACTTCTCCTAGAAATGCATGGATTTCAAGTTATGATTTTGTGAATACATGTTCATGAAACTTGGAAACTTAGTGAAATTTTGCCCTAGTTTAGGCAGGATTTTGACCTAACTTCATGGCAAATTTTCACATAGTTCCAAGAGGAATTTTCAAAAGTAACTAACATAGAGGTTGTAGAGGATGTTACAAGCTTTCTAAAGTGTCCAAGAACTCATTGAGATCATGTTTGAGCAATTAGAATCGAAGACAAGAAGTTGGACATTTATTCTTGAATTATAGGTCAATTCCATGACGAACAAGAATTCAAATCCAAGCCTAGGCTGCATAATATTTGCTTTGCATGCCTCAAACTTGTTTGTAACTCCATAATTAAATGTTTACACATCTCTTAGAGCTTTGATCCAAGCATTTGAGCCTTTATCCAAGTTGCATTTCCATTTATGGCATAAAGTTACCATTCCATTCTTGTAAAGAGGCTTTAATCACAAAGTCAATGCATAGAGCTTTGCACTTGTTCCTTCTGATCACAAGCAATGTCAAAGGCAAAAACAACATGTATGGAGCCTCCCATAAACTCAGGCCATGCTTGTACTATGCCTTGAAACCATGTTTTCACTTTTTTTCAAAATCAAATAACATAACCATAACTCTATATCTTGTGCTTCTGACCACCTCAAGTGCTGGAACCTTTTCCATATATTATACAAGTTATTTGTAAGCAAAGACACGAACACACAAGCTCTCAAACTCCCCCAAACTCAGAACTGCATCACAAACCACCATTGTTGCACATTCTGACCAAGAACTTCAAACTTCCATTTCCCTCGTGCGTTTCTTGGCCTTTCAGTTTCAAAAGCTTCCTCACATCAAATACAAACCATCCTTGTACCTGTTTGCAGACTGTAACCTCATCTTTATCAACTTCCAAGTTCAAAAACAGAGCATTGCAGTTGGACTTCTCCAGACCATTCCAGCCACCCTCAGTTCAAGTCAGGCATTGCATTAGCTTCCTAGAGGTTCAAGGAAGCTAGCTTGATCATCACCATCACTTGAAACAAGCTCAAACTCATTTCACGATTTCCAGTTTTGAGGTATTTTTCTTGAACTTCTATCTCATTATTTAGGCATTGTTAGGCTTGCATTTGTGAAGATAGAATGTAGACATCTTTGCCCTGAAACTATACATGTCCATAGATTTCATTAATGTTGCTTGAGTAGGGAGAATTTTGAGTTTGAACTTGCTCAAACATTTAGGTTAGAATTTGGTACTTTCATAAACTCATCCTTATCTTTGAATGTTAGGTTAAGTTAGTTACATGGTTGGATTCATGTTGGAAAAATGCACAAGTTTCATGTTTACACTTTTGAAAATGGATGAGAAATGAATAAGTTACAGATCCTTTGGCCGGAGGTTGAAGATGAAGTACAGTCAGGACAAAACTTGTTTTATATATTTATTGTTGTGTTCAAGTTAACAGATGTATCACCACCCTAGTGATTAAAGCGCGCGTCTGTCACCCTTAGGACCTGGGTTCGAGCCCCAACGTCCGTTTTGCCATTTTTTTCTTCATATTTTCTGTTTCTCTCTCTTTTTTTTGTTTGCAACAGGTGATGGGTTTTCCTCCTTTTAGGCCTTTATTTTTGCTGACTTCCCCCTGATTATGTTTCATACATCCTGACCCTTTTATTTTTATTATTTCATTTTCTTTTCTTTATTTTAGTTTCATATTATTATTTTTATTATTATTATTATTATTATTATTATTATTATTATTATTATTATTATTATTATTATTATTATTATTATTATTATTATTATTATTATCATTTTTATTAATAAAAATCCAAAAATATATTTTTATTTATTTATTTACATATTTAAAAAATGTTCATTAATATTTTATTTTTCTCTATAAAACAAAAAGACCAAAATATTTTCTTTTAACAAATTAATTCTTTTTTAATAATAATTAATGTTTAGACTTAGGTTAACTATCACATTATTTTCTTGTAAATTAAAAATTAATTTAGAACTTAGGTTTCTTTTTAATTAATCAATTCTCATGTTATTTTCATTATTTGAAACCTTTTCATAAAAAACCCTAAAAAATCATTTTTAAATTAATTTCTTTTCTTAATTAGTTTAAGTTCATTTTAGTTAATTTTTTATTAATTATTTTCTTAATTAGGTCAAGATTAAAACCTTTCATAAAATCAAATAAAAATCAAGTTTCTTTTGCTTTTTGCATTCTTGCATTTTATCTTCAATTTTGTACAAAATTCAATATGGTTGTAATAGTTAATTAGATTTAATTTTCTTGCAAATTCCCCATTTGTAAATTTGTACACCCCCTCCCCTAATGATGTAATAGCTTAGTATTTATATTTTCCACAATTTAATGCTTTATATATAAATACTAGTAAATCAAGGTTTGTATGGAAAGATAAAATCAACAAGTTAGCAAACCCTAATTCAAGACAAAAGAATGCATGTAAATCAACACACTTGCACACTTGCACCCTTAGTGTAATTCCACTTTGTTGCCTTATAAAAATGGTCATGTTATGCATTTGGGGTATCTTAGCAAAAATGAATCAAAAATACAAGATCATAGTCCCTCGATGACGCTATCAAAGTTGCGTTTCAAAATGATCTTAGTCCCTCAAAGATAATTGCTAAGATATTCCACAACATTACTATCATGACTATACGATGACCCACGCCCGTCCCTTTACATCCAAAGATAAGGCTTCTTACCAAATCAATGATAAGATAACAATATCAAAGGAAAGGAAGAAACGAACTAAGACTTTTAAGTAGGTAGATTGTTCCTAGTTGCTTGCTCAATTTCAAATCAAACACTCTTGCTTATTTTCAAAACAAACACCAACACTTTCAAAAACATTTTCAAAACACTTTCTAAACTTGAAACATTTTCAAAAGATCAACACTTTGTATACGTTCTTACGAACGAGAACTATTACAAAGTTTGCCTAAACGATGACGCCTTTTCAAAATACTTTAAAAAAACCACACAAAACACATTTTCAAACAAAAGCAAGTGATCTAGCAAGAAACTAAGATCCCATAGATAACTATGGATAAAAAGGGTGCTAACACCTTCCCTTTTCATAATCTATCCCCCAAACTCAAGAAATAATCTCAAAGGTCTTTCCTGTTCTTTTCAGCCTTTCCTTTTGGATAAAAGAAAAGTCGGTGGTGATTCTTGCTAACCGCAACATTTGAAATAAAATGCAAAACACCCAAGTCAGTTCTCCCACCGTATGACAGTAATCAAGTTTGATTAGTGGATTAAGACCTCATTGAGAGAGGTGAAATCACCTTGGCGGGTGGACTGGAGTAGTTTGAGTTTAAACGAACCAAGATAATTAACATGTTCTTTTATTTAAGTTTAAAAAACCCCAATTCAAACCCCCTCTTCTTGTGTTTTTCCGTTCTTCAAAAACATGAATAATAAACCCCTCTTTGAATTGATTTATTATTTACATGTAAAACTTTATAAGTATCACATGTTTACCATCACGGGCGCATATGAAAATCGATCAACCACAAATTGTCATTTGGGTCAATTGATACTCGCATAGACAAACATACACACAACCAGAAAACTATTTAACATTTTTCATAAACAATTTCCATAATAGAGGTTACTTTGGTGACTCTTTCATTTCAACTACTTACTTAAAAATGATTAAATTATTGTATACAATTACAATCCATAGTTAAATTTGAACAAAATTGAACCAAAAAAATTAAAATTAAATCTAAAATAAGAAACAGTGGTGCACCTTATGCACTATTACTAGAAAATTTAAGTTAAATTAAAATAAAATAAAAAATGAATATTAAATACAAATTGGAATATCCATTCGAATAAATCTATAATATAAGAAAACTCATTCTACCCAAAAAAAACCTATTTTATCCTTTTGTTCTAGAAACAAATACGTGGATAGCTTCTTTGGTCTCTATTCCATATTTTCATATTTGTTTTCTCAAATCCTTGGTCGACTTCCAATGGTGGTTACGAAATTGAAATTTCTCTTCAATTCTTTTCCCTATGTTCATCGATAGTTTCACAATTCAAGTGTGTCACAGTTTCACAAACGCTTTGTATTCCATATCCCACATTAAAAATTATCTCTCTCCCTCTTATTCTTTCTTCTCTCTTCCTCTATCTGTCTCTACGTCTTCCTTTATCTGTCTCTACCTCTTCCTTTCTTCTCTCTTTCATTGTCTCTCTCTTCCTCTTCTTTCTTCTCTCTTCCACCTCTCTCTTCTTCTTCTTATTTCTTCTCTCTTATTTTCTTAAACAAATATGTTATTCTTATCTATTTATATTTATGGAACTCCGACCATCTTACGACGGTGGACGGTTTAGCAGTGGTAGATATGTGGTGGCAGAAATGTTTCCGACAACGAGTGTGGTGGTTGTCGGATACAAAATGGTTTATGTGTGAATTTTTAATTTTAGGTTTTGTTATTAACTTATTCTCTTTTATTTGATATGTTTATGTTTTTTGAAATTTGGGGAAGCAACATTTACTGTTACGTATTTTGCCTTCAATGGTGAAGCTGAACATGAAGATTATTCATGAAATGCTTGAACATGGAGAAACTACGTGGCATCCAGATTATAGAAATGGTTGATGATAAGGTAATACCAATTATTTTTTTGCATAAACTCTTCTATTTATGTAAAAGAAATTTGATGTGAGTTTGTTTTGGTATTTATATTTGTCTTTTCAATTTTCACGATAACCTTTCTCCAAAACGAATCTGAGTATTTTTCTTTCAGTCATTATTATGTGCATATTTTGAAATTCCCAATTTTTATCCTACAGTTATGAATTCTGCTGCTGCAAATGTTGACAACAGGGAATTCATTCCTATATGAAATTCCTCTTGTCATTATTACATCTTTGGCCTCGATGGCGGCGAGCATGCTGCTACATTAACAAAAAGAGAAATTGGGGAGGAATTCAATACAAGAAATGAATTTAACGCAAGGTATAAGAACTAAACTATGGATCAATTTTCGACACTTAAGTAAACTTGTGATCAAATTTTTTTCTTCTGAATTACATAGATGTTGATGACAGGTAATTTCTGGCGTTAATTGTGGCATATTCCATTTCTTTCAAACAACTGCCTGGCAGGTTGGATCAATTTGTTAGGAACCAAGGAAAGGGCAATGAAGAATTGATAGAAACAATCATATAAAATGAACTATTTTATTGATTACGTAAAATAGTGTATGATAAATACTTCTCCTTGAATTTCTATTTTATGACCTGACCACTTTTTCTGATGTAACAAATCTCAACAAAGCAGATTGAGAACTCTGGACTATGATTGAACATTTTACTTATCTCATGATAATGCTCTAAAAAATAATTTAACCATAGTAATGTTGTGTAATTACTGGTGCATGATAAGAGACTTGTCTTTAAAGGAGTGTGTTGTACAGACAATTGATTGCCCATTGTATATTTGGATGTGTTGCTTATTCATTTAGAAGTAGTCTCCTCTATTTTGCTTGGTTTAAGTAACACTTTCTTGTGTTGCAGATATCATTATAACGTAGTGGACAATAGGCTTGGGTAGCATGTAGACACGTGTATTGATGATGGGTTATATATAAGCTGTGAGGCCTCTTCAGCAAATTTGTGGGCTCTAATCATGGACGCAGGGAGAGGTTTTTCTTCCCAGGTTTACAATTTATCACATGTCTTCCTGCACAAGGCTGGCCTTTTCTTTCCCTAATCCCTATATTTCATTTTCTACAAATACAAACAAAACATTATGAATGGAATAATTGATGTTAGCGTATATCTGTATGTATGTAGTATTCAAGAAGTCATATGAGATGTTTGAATCTCTCATTAGAAGTAATAATTATATTACCCATTCATTTGAAATGCGACATCTCATGGTTGCTAATGCTACTCCAGAAGAGCAGAAAGATATACTTGATGATCATCTATATACATGATTGTCCAGATACTCAAGGTATTCAATATTCTCTTTGTTGGGTATTTAAGATTGGGCTTTTAAGCTGTTAACGTGTGTTCACTAAGCTCCCTTGAACAGCCTAACCTGGCAGCAAAGATTACTGGCATGCTATTAGAGATGGACATCGCTAAACTGCTGGTTCTCATGGAACCGCCAGAGTCTCTTTCTGCCAAGGTGGAAGGAGCTTTCCAACTACTGAAGAACTCTAGAGCTAAAGTTTTAGAATAGGACGTACTTCGTTCAAATTTCTTTTCATCTGAGGTTGTGGTGAGCTGAAGAATTTAACATCCATAAATGCAAAAAAAATTGATACAAGAGTTGCCATGCATATTTCATCTTGAAAATAACTTATAGTTTTACATTTTCCTACCATAGCCCTAACAAGAATTGGCAGAAATAGTAAGATTTAGGGTCAACTTTGTTTTGAATGGGTCAAATTTATAAATTAAGTTCTTTTTCATTAACTCATTTAAGTTGTTTAATGCATGTCTGATTATTTCCTGTTACCATGTCTAGAACTTGGTTCTTATATTATGTTTTCTTATTTAATGTTTTGTTAATCAACCTTTGTGTCACATGTAGTGCAGACTTGAATTCTTGGTATCATGGATGAAGTTCTTGTACTTTTTTGTTGTTTCATTCTCATGACTAATTGTTGCCCATTTTGAATTATAGATCCAACCAACTTCTTCAACTAGATCAGCATTTTTCATGGTTTATGACTGGATTATAGCAGGAAATAGGCTTTTTGGATCTACATTTTGTAACATTACTGGCTGTGCTTTTGCATTTGAGCTTCCTTGGAGATTTTTAAATTCCTATTACTTGCTGCGAATAGTTCATGTACTATTTTTTTTAATATTTGGTATGCCTAAACTTCTCTTTATAGACTCAATCTTCTTGAACTTTATGCTATTTCTTATTTGATTTAACAATTGTTTTGGAATGAATGATTTTTTTGGTGTAGGATGTTAAGAATGTAGACATAATCTCAGAAGCCGCAGTTCTGCAATTTGTCCCCTGCATTCTAATTCTTTGTTTTCTTCCACTGCAGTTTATGTGCTAATTCTTTGTTTTCTTCCACTGCAGTTTATGTGTTGGCACTGAGTTATGTTCATCTTTCCCAGTTTGTCTCGTATAATAAAGTTTATACATGTAATTTCTTCCTTAGGAAACTTGCACATAAATCAGTGAATAGTTTGTGGAACTAATTTTCAGTTTTGATTCAATTTATAACAGACACCTGGTTCTCTGTACTTTTGGGCTGCACATTTGGCCGGTCCAAAGTGGGGATCGTTTTCTTCATGGTGTTGTGCTTGGCTTAGAACCATATAGTCCTACTCTTAACATGCACAAATAAAGGAGGATGGTACTTCACACCTAAATGGTTATTCTTATGTATGTACATTAGCCTCACTATTATTTGGGCCACATTGAACACATTTGCATTAGAAGTTATAGCTTTCATCAATATAACTTCAATATGATGGCAATTATTTTTGTGTTGTACCCAAAATTTGCCCTCCCATTTTTCTCAAGACATTCTTTCGAGGCTTCTCAAATGCTCAAGAATCTCAAGGGTTGACTAGTCAAGTTGCCCAAGAGTCTACAATTAGGGTTTTGAGTTTCTCAAAGATGTTTGGGTTGAAAATGTCTAAATGGTTCTCATGGCTCATTATAGGTCTCCAACAATGTTCATGTCAAATTTCAAGTCCTACATCACAAGTTTGCTCAACCAATGACTCAGATGATTGAAAATCAACTGTATTGGTCAAAAAGTCAACTATGGTCAACATACAGTCAACCTTCAATATTTTTTGTCAACATCAAAATTTTGAAGTGATATTCATCATTTGATCAAGGGTTGATCATGATTCCTAAAGGAAAGACCTCAAAATAATCAAAAGTCAAGAATTGTCAAATTAGGGTTTACTCAGGAGAAGTCAACTGAACTTTGACTAAGCATAACTTTCACCTACTTCATCAACTTTTCCCCAACCAAAGCCTGTTTTGAAGAAAATTCAATTCTCTATAACTTTGTTTTTATTCTCAAGTCCAAAAAGTGCTTCATTTGAAAGATATGAGCTAATACATTATAGGTCATTTTCAAAAGTCATCAAAAGACACTTTTTGTCAAGGTAACTTACACCAATATAAAGTCTTCAAAAGCAAAAATGATCAACATAGAGATTGTAGAGGACATCTTGAGATTTCAAAAAAGTTAAAGATCATCTTCAAAAGTTGAAAATTAAGCAAGTTATGAGTTGCACAATTTTGGAAATGTTGAGGAAATTAATGAAATGCAAATTGAGCAAAATTTCAATTTTGAACTAGTGAGCCTAATTTTTGATGTTCAAACATGATTACAAGATGTTAGAAAACGTCTAAGCTCATTTCCACCATGTTTTAAATTTTCTTGTCATTTTAATTATATTTTATTTTGGTTTTATTCAAATAAATACAAAATAAAATTAAATAAAATATAAGACCAATGGGCCAACACATGGATTGATATTTCTTAAGGCCCAATGTAGCTCATTACAGCCTGTAAAACCTTCCAAAATCGTGAAAAGGTTCAAAGAAGGCAAGAATCTCAAGTTTGGCAAGTTTTAAAAAAAAATGATTCTAACTTAAACCACGGATCGATTGCTTGATATCATACCATATGTGTTGGCTCCCTTACTTACTCTATATAATGCAAGCAAACTGAGCCAGAAAGGACATGAGATCATTGCACAAGAAGCTAGCAAAGTTATCTAAAAAACTTCAAAAAAACCCCGTGCTTCAAAGCTCTGTCCACAAACCTTCTCATTCCATAAATTCAGTCTTACTCTCTTCTTGGACGTGAAAGGGTAAGTTTGGACTAGTTACCATGGTCCAAAACACATGAGAAGGGCATAACATGCATTTACGATCGCATAACATTTTGAGATTTATGTTCTTTTATTTTACATTGTTTTGAGCTTAATGATTATTATTAACATGTTCCTGAGTACTTGATGAACAAATTTTGACCTTCAGCACATTCTCATGTGTTGTACCCCAATTTTTGTCCCTAAGATCCTTTCATCATACCATGTTGTTTCACTCACAACAAGATCACACTAGGATTCTTGATTCCCCTCCCTACATTTAGCTTTGCTCTTTTGAGGAATTACCAAGCACCTTGACTTGTTTTCTTTTGTGATCATGAATATTTTGCTTTGATTTTCTTTCTAATTAATAAAATGCAATGTTGGTTTGTCTTACTTATTAATAATGTAGGTAAAGGCAATGAGGTTTAGCAAGTTGGTTCAAGGATTCATGAGTTTATTTCCATGCCCTAGTCAATAAATCTTGAGAAATTCAAACCTGACCATTGAAGTTGTTTTGGAAGAAATGGCATAACAAGCCTTATTTTGGGTCAACATATTTCAAAGTTATCAAAATTGATTCAAAAGTACAAGGGATTGAGGGAAGAAGTTGTCATGATTGGACAAGGTCTTGTTCCTATTGGTCACAAGAGCATTTTTCTCTCAAATTTCATTATATGGAAGTGGTTTTGGTGGCTATGAGTCCTTATCATCATCCTCAACAACTTATATTCACAAATAAATAATATTGGCACAAGAAGTTTGTTCAAACTTGTCAAAGTTCCTCCAAGCATTCTCTTGATCTAGAGGCTAGGGTTTTGAACTTCAAAGGAGCATATCTTTCTCACCTTTTGGTATTTTTGAGTGATTCCAAAGACATCCTTCTCTTCAAAGAGTTATAAACAAATCACTTCAAAAGTTCCAAGGAGTTTTCACGTGGAAGGAACTTGGTGAAGAAGAAAGATTACAAGTCATCTAGATGAATCCACAATTTTCCATATGTGACTTCAAATGGTCATAACTTGGTCAATTTTTATCAACTTGAGTCCATTCTTTTTCCATTATGATCTTAAAGATGTTTACTTTATGCCTTCTTTTATGTGCAAAGTGAGAAAATGGATGGAAGTTTCTTTAAATATGAAAAAGATTATAGGTCATTTCATGATTTTTGGCCAACTTCAACAAGTCATAACTTGCTCATTTTTTTGGAGATTTTGAGTGGTTCCAATTTCAAAATGTCATTCAAGAGGTCAACTTCATTCCATCTTTTTTGGTCAAGAGCAAATTCTAAGTGGAAGGCCATGTTTGGATACAAAAGATTATGGGTCATTTTTGAAGAAGAATTTGAAATATTTCCAAGTATGGAAAGTCAACTCTTTTTCTTCAACTTTGACTCCATGTAACTTTCAGCTCAGGCATCCATTTGATTTCATTCTTTTTCCATTGCAAAGCTTGTAACCCCATCTTTCCAAAGCATCACGAATTATGCCCTAAGACCCCTTGAGTTGGAAATGCCATGGATTTGAATTTGGTAACTTGAAACTGAATTTTTCACAAAGTCAGAATTTTGAAATCCATAATGTGACTTCTAAATATAAGATTTGTGCGTGTTTTTGATCTAAACCTGATTAGAAAACTTGCCAGAAGTGATTAGCACCCCAAAACGCAAAGTTTGGCTGAATTTTGATGGAAATGAAGTCACAATTCACTCGTGCTCGACCCTTACCCAATTTCACTCAAAACTTCTTTGTTTCTTCAAATTTTCATTCCCATTCACTTCCCTATAAATAGAGGGTCATCCCCATCCATTTTCCCAAGCTTAGAGAGCCAAGAACACCCTCCCAAAACCTCACACGAACCCACTTTTTTTTAATTCAGTTTCTGAAATTTAAGCTTCCTTGTCCAAAATTCTTTGTGCATTCATCATCCTTGAGCATCATACAAACTCTCCAGCACTTAAACCAATCAAAACGAGCCATAATTCAAGCTACAGAAGTCCACTTTCAGAGCTTCTTACTTGAACTTCGAAAAGGTAGAATTCTCCACCATTTGGATCCAAATCAAGCACTAATCTATTCTACTCCTTCTTCTGATTCTAATGCTGCTTACAATTTTTAAATCCATTGAGAATTAAGAGAGAAATCTCAAATTGAAGGTGCTCGCTATTTTCTGGGTTTTTGATTCATATCTCTCTCCATACCTTATATAAATTTGGCGCGATGGTTGTGTTAGAATCGTCTGAAAGAGACGAGTTCAATGATGTTAGCCTGAGATCCTAATTTTTCCATTTGAAGGATCTCACAAAATCCCAATTGCAGGGTGTCCGGAGGATGAAGATGATGACATGTCTCGTCTCAGCCAATGATAGCGTGCCAAACATTTTAATTTCATTGGTTGCCCTTTTTCTGATCACATGTGTGTTTCACTAAGGTCCATATCAAGCACAACGCATTTGGTCCATTGGATTAGCTTATTAACGCGTTTTGACTATGATCTGATGGTCCACATCTTTTTGGTTTTATTTTATTTTCTGATTTTATATTTTTATTGATTAAATTTTCAAAAATTCATAACTCTTTTATTTTTTATCCAAAAATTATGAAAAAATTCACAAAAATACTTTGATTTATTTCTGATCTCATGAATATTTTTTCACATTTTTATTTTAATATTTGGTATTTTTTTATATATTTTTGTATTATTTGCTTTATTTTAATTACTTAAAAAAATACTTTCTGACTCTTTTTTAATTATGGAAAAATTCATAAATATTATTTTGTATATTTTTGACTTTCTAAAAATTTTATGGAATTTTATGTTGATATTTACTATTTTTGATCTATTTTATGTTTGTTTTAGCATTTTTAAATAGTTTAAAAATAGTTTCTCACTTTTAAAAATTACCAATTTTTTTATAAAAATATTTGGATCCATTTCTGATTTTTCTATGGCCTTATTTTTCATTTCTTGATTAATTTGAACATAACTGATATTTTTCTCATTATTTTTAAAAAAAAAACCTTTTTAACCTTTTTTAATGTATATATTAAATGTGATATTATTTTTGTGAATTAT